AAAATGGCAAATTTTCAAAAAATTGCTTATGATCTTTTCCATGTTAGGATCAGTATTGATAAAAGCACAGTTGCCTCATAATGTGTAAGCATCTCTTTGGCAGTAAGAGTAAATCCGAGCTTGTTAGAACAGCATCAACTCAGAGAAAATGGAGATGCTTAGCTCTCAGGAGCCCACCAAAGTTCTAACATCCGACGTTTCTAGTTGTTAAACAAACACATGTTTTTGCTTGTTGCTTGTACTGTGCGCGAACCCCATTAACATGTGGCTGTCTGTGATTCATTTTTCAATTTTATTTTAAATCCAAAAAATATAAAATAAAATAATAATAATAAACATTCTCTAGCGGGGTGTTGCGTTAATGCTGCTGTTATCTGCTTGGCAATTATAATATATGATTTTTATGTGCGATATATTATATTGTCTCACTGTTATCTTTTATTATTATTTTCTTAGGGAGGAATTCGAAATGAAAAAAGCAATAATTAAACTGAAACGTTCTAATGAAATACCAACGATATCCTTGAATGTGAAAACAGTTTTTCCAGGGCACCATATCTCTCCCATATGCAAAAGGTAAGGGCAACTTGGGAACATTAACTTGGCGACAAAGAACACACTCCTAAAATAACGGCTCTGGTTTTTGCACGGAAAGAGTACTTCGATTTAACTTGTCTTCCAATAACAAATGTAGCACTAAGAAACCAACCAAAGGAATCTCTAATACATAATATTTTTAGCTTTTCTAAATATTAAAAGAAATTACTTTAACAATGATGTGAAAGTAAGAAATGATATTACCACTGAAGATAACTATCTTGTTGACAAAATATTATTATGAACAGATTTTCGAGATCCAGTAGACGGTTAAAGTTGTGGATGAACGTTCGTAAGATAGCAATAGGTAGCGCTTGCTCGTGTTGGACTAGTGGTGAGTGGGGATATGCAATTAGAACACAAAAATATTTAGTTCATAACTTTTTTCTGTATATGTGTATTTTTGGTAACATATATGGAGAATCAGTTGACAAAGATCAATAATATATAACTTAAACTCAAGAGTTGGTTATAAATTTCTACAGATATATTCCATTGGTGAATTCTGATGAATGGTTGTTAGTCCTAGTTTCTGACAGACTTTATTGACATTTTTCTTGTTGGGCATTCCTATATATAATTTTCAACAATAAAACTGATAAATTGCTGACAGTTTTTTTTCATTATATATACAGTCGAAAAATAATCCTAATATATATTAATGATTTATTGATAATGTTGTATTATCAATGTTTGTTTTGCCAATAAATTTACTTGCGTCCCAAATTGAAATTACTGCCGCAACATTGGTGATTATTGAACTTTGCCATCAATTATCATGTTCTACCTTGTAGTAATTAATATATAAGACTCAATCTTCGCCTTCACAAAGTGTCAATGATTATATTTTTGTATTCTTTCGTAGAAATGTAATGGGGAAAAAACTTGTGAATTGATCAGCGTACATGCCAAGTAGGTTTCATAGCGACATCCTCAATTACATGCGTTTAATATAATATATATAATCTTGAATATGACCATAAGAAAATAAGAGCACACATATAACACACACATAAGTATACAAACTTTCAACTCAACACTAAGTTGGTGTCGAAAAACTAGTAGAGATTCTCACTTTGGAAAGAATGCGAATTGATGAACTCAATGTTTATATACTAATTAAGGAATCATGCGATTACAATGGGTCCAAACTAAATCAACGAATTCATAAGTAATTGTCAACAGCATAATCAGATTTAGACACGTGTTCTTGCAAATTACCTTTACGGTTGCTTACTCGTGTTGGATAACTAGTGGTTGGATTATTCATATTACTACGTACGACAAGTTTACAACACAGTTAGGGCTTAGCAAAATATCGAAAATTTCCGTTATGCACTTTTATTCGCTTCCATTATGATAACTATAAGTTTGTGTAGTAAATAAAGCTTCGTCGATAAATGTTGTCTTATGTACAATAAGAAGTCTAGACATACATGTTCATCAGTGTGTACACTCTACGTGGTGGTCTCCTGCTTTACGTTATAGTCTTCGTCGCACAAAGTCCAGTATTAGCTACAAAAGCCTACGTACCCAAAAATAAGTGTTTGGTTCACTACAAAGTGACGAGGATTTTCTGCCTTATGCAAATTCTGCCAATAAAATATGATAATCATATCAGAACTGATATGAAACCAATAGTTGAATAACAAGAGAGGAAACTAACGTATTTCTATTCCAAAGATTTGAAGTTCTAAAAATCCAAGACATAAAAAGCTTGGATTGGACTGAAATGTATATGAAAGTAACATCCTAATTTTGAGTCAATATGACATAAAACAATGTTATAATTAAAGATAATATATGCTCTTAGATCTTGTACCCTCAAGAATAGACACTCTCTTAACCTCTTGTCGTTTTCTACTATTTCTCTCCCTTAGCCAACGTTTCTTTTTCATTTGATCACACGTTCGTTCTCTCTCTATATATTCCCAAACATTTTCATAAAGAATAGAAAATTACACACAAATTTAGCTGAAACTCGTAACGGGACTTATATATACATAATACACATGGTTATAAGTTAAAATAATAATAATTAAAAAAATAATTCATGGTGATCTGAATTTGGCAACAACAACAACAATGAGAAATGTGGCTGGAAAATTGAGGCATTAAAAAAATCTAGAAAAATATGGGGCTTAGTAGAAACATTTGAGACCAAACTCGTTCGTAGAAAATAGATACAAGAACCTTATACGCACAAGAACAGAAAAAAGGTTAATTAGGTTAATTAAATACATCATGTGAAGGGGGCAAAATCATTTATAGTATGATTTTGGGCGGATAAGGCCAAACTATATAGGGTGGGTGGCTAGGGAGGCACATCCACAACCCCACACCACAAAAAAGCTAACGCAATTGACATTATTATTATTTTGGAACTTTTAGATACTGAAACTAAAAATCTACAGCATCAATCTCAGATTTTCTTTTTAACTTAATTTACATGGTTTTAGTTCAGTAATTGTTTTTATAATATATTGTGTAAATATTTACTTTTATATAACATATATCGCAATGGTGTGCCCTAGTTTGATCGCTCATTGTTTGGACTCAAACTTTACTGTTTTGTTTTGACCAACAAAAAAACCAGAAAGATAAAAAAGGTTAAGGGTTTTTGATTACGATTATTATGTCCGGAGCCAACCGTTGATAATATCATGTTGAAGGCATTAATTCACTACTAAACCACCCCCTTCTAAGGGTCAGATTTGAACTTTGAACAAAAGGAGGCAACATATTTACGCAGAGGTCATATATATAACCATGATCTCATACCTTTATACTTTACATAACTTTCTCATACATATTTATAGAGTTAAATAAAATGAGCCGAAACTTTACGCAAAGGCCACATTTAATAAATGCAACCCATGATCTCACTTAGAACATCCAAAAAAAAAACTATATAGAGTAGAACCTCTATAAATTAATACTCGATAAATTAATATACACTAAATATCTCTATAAAATAATATAATTTTATAGTCTCAAATTGAGTTTTTAGTTCGATTTGTATATCTATAAATTAATATCTCTCTAAATTAATAAAAAATCAAATTTTGATGCAGTCCTAACATTATTAATTTATAGAGGTTTTACTGTGACTTTAAATATATAGGCTTTTGCTCTCCAAAAAAGAATTTCAAAACTTCAACTTTAAAGTCTTAAGAAGTGAAATTTCATATTTAAATTTTCACTATTTAAAACTTCAAATTTGAAGTTTCATATTTTTATTTACATTTTGGTCCTTACAATTACAAGTAAAATTTATAATTCATAAAAACAATTTCATTTATCATTTTAATACTAAAAATTTTATATGTCATAAATATTTCAAATTAGTTTAATTTTTTTTTATAAATTTAAGCTTTACAGATAAATTAAATAAAGTTTTAAAATAAAACATAATATTTTAAAACTAAATTAGACAACAAGAGTATTACAAAAGAAGCTTAATATTTGCCTGTAGTTAAATATTTAATAATAGAATTAGACAACAAAAATATAATATTTTGCTTAATATTTAATTATTTATCTGTATTTGTATTATATTTTAGTGTAAGCTTTTATTAATTAATATTGATGTATAATTTTTATATGTGTGTGTTATTTATAATTTTTTATGAATTTACATTAACTATGACAAATATAAAAACTATAGTGTAAAATATAAATAATTTTGAAGTTAAGTTTGAAATTTTATTTTTGGAAACGAACACTTTGAAACTTCAAATATAAAGTTTTAGAAACTTCAAAATATAAAGTTTTTGGAGATATACATGTACACTAATTTTTCCTCAGCATCAGTCCATGCCCCATAAATCATATTCTTTTCGGATTGCAGTGCATGTATGAAAGTTATACATTTCCATGTACTATTATATAGACATCAAAGTTGAAGAACTAGTTTCAGAAAAAAAGATGTTGAAGAACTTAAAATAAAGTAATGGATCACTACCTTGTTGTAATAAAAACAAACAAATGGATCACTTGCAGTCCATTTGGAAAACAATTAGAAGAACAGTTTTAGCAAAGCCCAACAGAGGAGGTACTAATTCATCAATTGTTATTTTTTAAAAGTTGGGCAGATTGATGTATAAAGGAAAGTTGAGCTAGATGGGGCTGACATTAGCTTAACAAAAATAATAGAATCGATCTAAGATTTGCTTTTATTTTTGTTGTAAAAATGTTAATGTATCGGTTTTCATAAAGATAAGACCAACTCCTCGTTGGTATCCTACAAACTATTGGGTTTGTACAATTAACACGGTGCTTCATGATCGCATTCTCGTCTTGTTGCACGCCAGTAATTACGGTGGTATCTTAGATCGTTTACAGAAAATAGATATCATTGTCCGATAATAAGAGAAAACAAAAGCACTAGCTAGACTAACAAAGTTTTAAGTATCTTTATATTTTCTTTCTTTTTACACAATTAGTAACCAAGCTTTCAAAGTCAATTAGTCTAAACAAAGCCTTTTAGATAGAAAGGAAAGCTAGTTCCCTTAATTTTTATTGTGACATATTCAGGGTAAGATAAAACATTTTATCAACTTCAACCAAAAAAAAAGATTCAAGAAAACCAAACCTAACTAGTTTCTAACATTGTGACGGCAAAGAGGACAAGTGTTCCGGTTAGTTAACCAACTCGAGATACAATCTTTGTGGTAACAATGGCTACAAGGAAGCTCAGAGAGTCTCTCATTAGCAGCGAGCTCCTCTCTACAGATGGCGCAAACCACCAAACCTCTCTCCATAAGTTCCTCAGACGTCAACTCCACCACCGGAAGTTCCTCCGTCACTTCCTGCGGCCGCGTGGAAGATGAATTGCCCAACACTCGACCAAAGATTTCATCGTAAGAACCAAACGTCTCATGTCCATGGTTGCTCCGTGAAGCCATGTAATGGAGGTAGTTGAGGTAGTCCTCGTCGATGAAAGTAGCGTTGTCTTCGATATCTTCTGCTTCGTTGACGATCTCGGAAGGAAGATGAAACTCTGCCATTGATTTTCTGAGGTTTTTGGAAACGCCAATGTGTGAATATAGTACGAGGATGTGTGAACATGACTGAGACTTAAACAAGATAAGGTTTCGAAGGTTCCGTTGGGAGTCTGACACGCGCATTTCGAAGGGTTTCATGTGATCCATAAGGACAAGATCTGTAAGACTGTAACACATGTCTTGCTACTGAAATGGATCTTTAGCCACGTTGTATAACAACAGCACCGACATTTTGATAACCTGAAGTTTCTCGAAACAATTATTACTCTCTCAGTTTCGTAATGGAATGTCACTTTTTATTAATTATATTAATTTAGTAACTAATATCTGAGATAAATAAAAATTTTATAAGTTCAATATATATTATTATGAGAAAATACTCGGAATAACTCAAATCATTATACTAATTACTCAAATAACTCATATAACTTTCTAATTATTATGAGTAAATATTTTTAAAAGAAAGGAAATGTTGTATGTATAGTTGGCATCTACTCTCAGCTTATGCTTTGTATCTTCAACCTTTCTTTGTATCTACTCTTCACTTTTGAAATCCAGATGATGAATCTAAAATCCCATAACTTTGTAACATACAAAGATATTAGAAAATGATAGAATATAGATATTTACTGTTTTAATCACCTGAAAGCATAACAACAAGACATGGCGTCAAACAATCATTCAAGTAGCAATGTTGCTGCTCACCGAAGCCGACCATGTGATCACATCTTTATGTGACCACAGTGATTTAAACAAAATTTAAAAATTAATTAAAATCAAAATTAATCTTAACCGGAACCAATACAAAATAAACCAAAATCTATGAGAAATTAACTAGAAATTCAAATTAATGTCTGGTATAAAAAGTGTGGCCCAATCTAGTAATTAAATTAAATCTACAAGTCTACCGTCAAAGATGAAAATTTAAAAAATCTGCCACCATATGAATATAAAAATCGACTACAAAAATAAATCGGTTAAACAAATCTGTCACTAATATTTATGTCTAGTACCCATTAAAAGTCGGTTTTGCGTAATTTTTAAATCGGTCGTAAAAATCTAACTGATCCAAAATAAAACTGAAAATTTTAAAAAATCGGTTACATCATTCGACAGACTAAAACATATAAATCGGTTGACAACCATAAATCTGCCAAACAAATCAGCCACCTCAAAACTATTTGCCGTGAATCAAAAGTCTGCCACCAAATACTTGGCAGATTTAAACTGAACAACAGTTTAAATTAGTAGATTTATATATCGATAGATTTATTTTTCGTAAATAAATCTGCCGTCGATGATTTTTTCAAAAATTTCAATGGCCTTTTTGTAATATTACCTTTTGGTCATAACTGTAAGCAAGGACAGTTTCGACATTAAAAAAAAGTTAGTAATTTTAAACTTTTATGAGTTATTCTAGTAATTACTAGATTAATTTGAGTCATTTTAGTAAACTTCCCTATTATTATTTATCTTAAATTTAAAATAAATTAGATTTTAACTCGTGCATCCACACGGATATTTGTTTTAAATTTATATAATTAACATTGAAATATAATTTTGTGGTATATATTTTGAATATTTACACGTATTGAATTTTTGGGTAATTTATACACAAAACATATTTTTTGGTTATATATAATAATTTTGTTTATTATGTCAAACCCGTAATTGTGTTAGTAATTGATTTAGATAAACTTATCTTATTGGATTTGCATTGGACTAATAGTTACATAAAATATATATGAATTAGTTATATATATATTACAAAACTGATTGTTAACATGAGGTTTAACGGTTTTTTTAGTAATAAATAATGAGGAATGAACTAAAATATATTAGCTAATATTTTAGTGACCAATAATCTTCATTTACTTAGTATGGAATATATAGCTAATGAAGAAGTATAAATAATAATAAAACATTTTTTCCAAATTAATAAAATAGTAAAAATATCTGAAGGTAAATTTATTAAATACCAAATAGATTTCTATATACTATATGGTTTAGTTAATGTAAATATGGACAAATGTCTATAATTAATGGGGTTGATATATTTATTAAGTTTTGAATTATTTTGTTAGTTTATCATTTAACATATATTAATATATGTTTTTTAGGCGTTGGGTGATATTTTTTTACAGAATATTATTTTTGTATAGCAATTAAATATGCATTTTCAGAAATTTATTAAAATAGAGAAATATATGGAAAATTTGAACATTAATTAGTTTGAAATTAATTTAGAAATGATCTTTTTAATTGAAAAATATAATAAAGTTTAAAAATTAAGAATCTGTTTTTGAGTGATATTAAAATGTTATTTTAGGAGTAAAAATAAATTTGTACTTTGCTCTTGATAGATTAGACGAATACAATCATTCACAACTATATTATACATGATTGAAAAATGAATGAGCATGATGTATGCGTAAATTTGTTTTATGAGAAACAATACATAGGTGACAATGAGGAGAAGAAACTAATTACTTTTTGAGTTACTTCAACATATTCAAACATGAGACTATGAGGAGAAAAATTGAAATGTCTGAAGAATAACTATATAAACTGTGTAAATGTTTGGACAATTGGTAAGTATGTCACCGGTTACAATTTGGTTAATGTTTTGTAAATAATTTTAAAGCATACTCAAAGATTACTTTTGAGAATAGGTCAATTTTAACCTATTCTCTTAAGAGTATACTTTTATAAATGGGAGTTAGACTGTATAAACTAATGATAAAAAATGTTATAATTATTTTTAGAGAATTGCGAATAAGTCCAAACTTAAATGATAATCTTTTTAAGTAGATTAAAAAAATTCTAAATTAATAAAGTAAATATAAATTGTATTAAAATTCTGCAACATTTTGTATAAAAAGCTGTCAAACAACATTTTGCAATAAAAAATTAATAGTCGCTATCGGACAGGAATAGTTACCAATGGTAGGCTTTGCGTTTTGCTGTTTATTTCTGAACACAAATTTTGTAAATATGTATATATATATATATATATATATATTCAAAATTTCAAATTTTCTAAACTTAGAAATATTTTAGACTTCGAATGGGTGACACAGTTTAAAATATGCAGAACAAATCGAATAATTTATCAAAATTATCATTATTAATTAAATTACCGTTGGGTAGTTTACGATTTGGATCGGTCCATGGGTTAAAATGTTTAAGATCTGTTTAGGAACTAAACATTTAGAAATTATCAGTTTGAATAATTAATGTCAGATTTATGTTAGTTTTTTAATAATATCTGAAATAACTGAATTAAAAATTATTCCTATTTATTTTGAGTTTAAAGAAGAAGAAAAATGTTAAAACCCCTTAAAAATTGAATTAAACCCTAAAACTGAAAATACTCAAGTATTCAGATGTTTTAAAATATTTTTTATTATTTAATTATATATCATAGAAATTTAAAATTTAAGATAATTAATCTTTTATTATATTTTGATATGCATGTATCGATTCTATTTTGGTCCACTTTTTATTTTTCATATTTAAAAATAGTACTCATCCGAGTTTTCAAAATTTTGATCTAGTTTCAATTTTGTTTTTTGGTTATATTCCCGTTTGATTTTTGAGATGTAGTGCGTTATATACTTGGCAAAAAAAAAGTGTGTTATGATACGAAGGAAGACAGTGTCTTTGAACCATTCGAAATTCTAGTTACATGTAATCAAAATTTTCAATAAACACTAATATTCAATCTTCCTAAATCTAAGTCAGTGTTAAAAAGTAAAACTATATATACAGTATATATTACAATGAAATCATCTGAGTTTGGTCGAACTTGGTAAACAAAAATAAAATAACAGGTGCTCGACTGAGTTAGTCGGAAAAATACAAATCGGCAAGAAATGTAAAAAATAAAACCTTAATTTTTAGCCGTCAGTCTCTGTAAGTGTTGAAATCTGGATCTTCGGTTTGGTCACTCTTCTTCTCCTTTTATAAATAAATCTCTTCTTCTATTTGCCATATGTCAATTAAACCTAGCTTATGAGTTAGTAGGATACACCTCTCGGGTCGAGCACCAAGTAAAGTATAACTTCCAAGCCGAGCACGAGCGTTGAGTTGATTGGCGTCAAGTAACGCTCAGTCGAACCGACTTAGTGGACCGAATGCCTAATTAGATGGCCTTATGGAGGAATAAAATCCATCCATCTCCTATAAAACTACACTTGGTAAAAGTAGATAATCGATTATAATGAACAAAAAGAGGAATATTAAACAATAACCCTTTTTTTGGGGTCTAAAATTAAACAACATATCTGTTTTGGTTGAAGATGGTTACATGTTCTTAGTAACTACAGTCACTCGAATTCATTACATGTTATTGCGATAGCTAATTGATGTTTGAATTTGGGATAGTATTTGGCATTCGCTTGTTATAGTGTTTTATGAATGATCATTTAAAAAAAAAAAAAATGATCATTTCGTGCAGAAAGGAAAGAAACCCATTTGAGACTATAGGTTCGTTAATAATATTTAATGTTTCGTGTAAACCTGTTCTTTAGTTTTGGAGCATGAATACATAATATGCATCTCAAAACCTGAACCTTAATACTTTCTTAATGTATTTAATATCTGGCTCTTATTTGCCTAGCTGTCTCTGTTTATATGACTCAGACTGGGTAAACAATTAGATAATGGGCATGTTAATCGACGCTTTGATTACATTAAAGTCAAAAATTCCTACTCGCGCCGTTTCAAATTAATTGTCATTTTAGAGGAAAAATTTCATTTCAAAATAAGTGTCGTTTTAGAGTTTTGAGACAAAGTTTATTAGTTTTATATGATATTCTATTTTCCTATTGGTTGAAAAGTGGTTAGGTGTATAGGTAATTATGTTTTTTTCTTAAAAATATGTAAAATTAAATGTTTCCTTAATCTGTGTGTAAAAACCTAGAATGATAATTAAAATGAAACAGATGGAATAATATTTAGGCTATGAATGGTGACCAAAGGAATGAGGAGGAACAATGTGTTCCTTAATGTTCCTAAAAAACTTTACCATTCATAAGGAATAATTTTTCCTTTCTATTCCTCCTCATTCCTTTTATTGTAGAGATTTATTAAACATATTTGTTCCTTATTAAATTTGATAAGGAATAGTTATTCCTCTTCATTCCCGTAATTTTATTCCCATCCATTCTATTCCTATTCGTTCCTGATATTCCCGTTATGGTTACCAGTCAGAACCTTAGTGATTATAAAAGTCTATAGATGCTTAATTGTCACGGTTAGTTAAATAATTATCAGAGGTGCAAGGCAATAATTAATTAGAGTCCTATCATTCATCCGTCTTTCCTGTCCACATAGTTTTTCCCAAGTAAAATAATGAATTGGGTAGTACCTACATTTGTAGTTCTTCTACTGTTCTACAACTACATTTTTTTCTTCTACTATTCTACAACGACGTTCTTTGATATGAATCGTTATTGATTATAAAATACTACAGAAATTAGATGATATACAGTATGAGTGTTTATTTTTGTCAGATAGATGTTTATTTGTTAACTGATAGCATCACTGGAAGATGAGTTTGTCCCAAGTTCTCGATGGAACTTTGTCGAAAGCTGTTGGCTGACAAGAGCAGCTGGATGACTCTAGGACCATAGTTAATCGTGGTAGGGAAAGGCCTCCTATGCCTAAATTTGACCCTAATATTCATGAGCAATGGGGCAGAGACTGTAGACTCTACTAGTTTGCTATAAATGAAAAGGCAGTAAAACAAAATCAAGTATATCATCACGATTTTGGAATAGGTGAACCCTGTAAACTGAAATTAGACTCCAGTTCTTATGGACACACATATTAGATACTACTAGGGGCCAGATTAAAATTTTAGTTTTTTGTAGTTGAGTTACCTAATTTAGGTTTGGATTTTTTTTCTTTTGCTATGATATTTTACCTTGGTTTAGTAATTCTACTATATTAAAAAAACAATAAAAATACTTATAAAACCTTTTCAAAAAGGAAAGAAAAACTTAATCACAATGTAAAAAAAAAAAAAACTTTAAAATGTAAAAGAACTTATCCAAACAACACCATAGTTGTAAAAACTGGTTTTAATGTTAGTCTTTCGGGCTCTCTTAGTTGCCTAAAAAGCCAGTAATGAGTTATATAACGTAAAATAGGATAAAACGTAAAACTTGGGGAAATTGGCAACTAATTACAGTAACAAATATACCACATTCCAGCCTTTTCTGTCACTACATATTAAAATAAAGCTTTTAGATACTCCACGTTAAACCAATTACAATCCTGAATAGTTCTTCATATGTATGCAACTCGATTCACCGATCTCAAAACGCTGCGTCGAATCTACCTGAAATCCAATCAACAACCACCTAAGGTCAAACACATTGTCACCAAAATGTACAGTGAATCTGATAATTCAACTTCACAATTTTGGCTAACCACGTTACCAACTATCCAATAGCAAACAAAAATCTCCCTTCTTTTATATCTCTTATTAAAAGTTTAAAGATTTTCTTACAGATTTATATCTTCAACCATCGTCAGCATCAGCTTGCACAAAATCCAAAATCCTGAGGCTATTAATCTCCTCACATCTCTTCCCTCCCCTACCAAAAAAATCCGAATCTCCACTCCTTCAAAGCTTTCAACTTTAAAAAAAAAAAAAAAGCTTTCAACTTTGTTCATCTCCTCTGTATTTAATCTTCTGGGTCACACCAATTTCAATCAAAATCAACTGGGTTTGGATCAAATTTAGGTTTTTGTCTTTTAATTTCTACTTGTTCGATCGTGTCTGCTTACTATTTTCGTCAAAGCTCTCACCTTTAAGGTTCGTTGCTCTCTCACACGTTCAAAGGTGTTGACTTTCTATAATGGCTTTCTATAAAATCAATTAATTAACACCTTGCAGTTACCAAACACGAAGATGACGATCAAAGACGTTACTCCGAATCCAAAACGGAGCTCCTCCTCAGACGATGCTGCTGCTCCTTTACTACCCAAATCCAAAGGAGACGAAGCTGCTGCTTACGATGAGTTCAACGGAGCTTCCTTCAGCGGCGCGGTTTTCAATCTAGCAACGACTATAATCGGTGCTGGCATCATGGCCTTGCCGGCAACGATGAAGATCTTAGGGCTTGTGCTTGGGATCACGATGATTGTCGTCATGGCTTTCTTGACTGATGCGTCTATTGAGTTCTTGCTTAGGTTTAGTAAGATTAAGAAGAGTCGGTCTTATGGTGGTTTGATGGGTGATTCTTTTGGGAGGCCTGGAAGGGTTTTGCTTCAAGTTGCTGTGTTGGTTAATAACATTGGTGTTTTGATTGTCTACATGATTATTATTGGTATTGTTTAGTTTAATCATTTTCTTTAGTCTACTGCAAGTGTTGATTTGTTGAATAGTTAGTATTTTATGGTTGTTGAAGGTGATGTGTTGGCTGGAAAGACGGAGGATGGGACTCATCATTATGGTGTTCTTGAAGGATGGTTTGGTCATTATTGGTGGAATGGAAGAGCTGCTATTCTTCTTATTACTACTCTTGGTGTCTTTGCTCCTTTGGCTTGCTTCAAGAGAATTGGTTAGTGTTTGTCTCTAGAGACTCTGATCTTTAAGTTTAGTTGCTTCTTACATATGGTTTTATGCTTTTCTTTGCAGATTCTTTGAGATTTACATCTGCTTTATCAGTGGCTCTTGCGGTTGTGTTTCTCGTCATCACTGCTGGAATTTCGATCATGAAGCTGATCAGTGGTGGAGTGGCGATGCCGAGATTGCTTCCTGATGTTAGTGACTTAACATCCTTCTGGAATCTCTTCACAGTTGTACCTGTTCTTGTCACCGCGTTCATTTGCCACTACAATGGTATGTGCTCTCTTCTTACTTGGAACCATAAGCTTTGAAGAATAAAACAAAAACTCATGCTCTTGGCTTTGCTTGATATGTTTCAGTTCACAGCATACAGAACGAGCTTGACGACCCTGCTCAGATAAGACCTGTGGTCAGATCAGCTCTTATGCTCTGCTCATCAGTCTACATAATGACAAGCATTTTCGGCTTCCTCTTGTTTGGTGACGATACTCTTGATGATGTCCTTGCAAACTTTGACACAGATCTCGGCATCCCTTTTGGCTCTGTCCTTAACGATGCAGTTCGAGTTAGCTACGCTCTTCATCTCATGCTAGTCTTCCCCATTGTTTTCTACCCGTTGAGGATCAACATAGACGGGCTCTTGTTCCCTTCTGCTCGACCATTAACTACCTCAAATGTGAGGTTCGGTTGCCTCACTGCAGGTCTCATCTCTGTGGTCTTCCTAGGTGCAAACTTCATCCCAAGCATTTGGGATGCGTTCCAGTTCACTGGAGCCACTGCTGCTGTTTGTCTCGGTTTCATCTTCCCTGCTTCTATTATACTAAAGTAAGTTTGGTTACAGTTACAGGATTGATGTTTAGCTCTCTTAGTTAAGCTTATTTTTTTATATTTGTTGTGTTCTTGCAGGGATCGTCATAGCAGAGCAACAAGAAAGGACACGACATTAGCTGTTTTCATGATAGTTCTTGCGGTGTTGTCCAATGCAATCGCTATTTACAGTGATGCTTATGCTTTATTCAAGAAGAGCACACCTCGTGAGTAAATGTGCAGTTTTGGTATGTTCTTGGATGAAAGGACACAAAAGCGTTATTCATTTTCTCTTCTTTATGTAAAATATAATAATCAAGAAGACGAGACTTCTCTTCCCTATGTTTGTATCATTGTTGTTCTGAGTGTTTATAGCGGGGACTTTTGCTTGCTTCTGGTTTTGTAACCAGCATGAGTGTTTGCTTGGAGAAAGCTATGTATACACAGCAAATGTAATGAAGATTTGCCTATTTGGTCTTATCATATTCTATTCAATAACCAAAGTAGATCCATCAATCATTGACATGTGACTTGTTTTAATTCCAAAACACAAGGGGATGTAAGTGTAAAAAGAGAACAAACCAAAGATCAAACTATTTAAAATTACATGTTTTTGGATGCATGTGTATGTTCATGTCTCTTCTACCCAATTCACTTAGCTGTTGCTGTAGGCTTGAAACAATCTATGTTGCACAATCCTACTGATCTTATCATTCCCCCAAACCTGTCATCATCATCATCATCATAGCCATTATCAATCATCAGTTAATACAGATTTTGAGATTTTGTTGTTTGTTTTACCTGTCAATACTTTTCCTCCCTTTCTCTGGTTGTATTTGCTGTTCGGTAGCGTTACTCGGTTTCTCAGCCCCGTCAACACTTTTTCTCGTTCTTTCTCTCTTATCAAAACTCGCACTCGCTTTATCCTTACTCTCTGTACTCAGCTTAGGCATCTCTCTCTGATCAATGCTCGTTTTTGACTTCTCTCTTTGGTCTGTGCTTGGCCTTGCAGGCTCTCTAACATCTGTACTGCTCCTCGCATTCTCTGTCTGTGGCACAGTTCCGCTTGGAAGACGAGGAGACTTCTCAACTGCAGATACAAACTTCTTTAGATGCTTTATATACTGAGGGTATAGTTCTAAATCACAGTGGTTTCCTCCTGTGATCCAAAGCGGTTCATATTTTTCTTTACAAAGATCGAATAGTTGCTTCCCATGAGACCAACTCACAACATCATCTGAAGTTCCCTGGAAACATACGTTAACCTCGGATCAATACCAAAATGTAAGAGAAAAAAAACGAGATGATGAAACTCACGTGGATCACCAGAACCGGACATTTGACAAGAGATATCTTATCAATGTTCTGCAATATAAAAAAAACAAATCAGAACTTATTGTAATGATTAAGAACGTAATTTTGATGAAAGTTTTCTAACAAAACCTTGTAAATATCAAACCAGTAAGTTCGCTTTACAGGGTACATGACTCTAAGACCAGAAGCAATAGCACTGTGGAGAACAACAGCTCTGAGGTTTGGTAAACGAGAAGCAAATTCTAAAGTCGGTCCACTTCCTACTGATTGTCCATATAAGATAACATCTTGTTCCTTTACACCATACTGCTCTTCCAAACATCTATACACTGCTTCTATATCGTAGTATGTGTTCTGCTCACTAGGCTGTGGAATAAACCAAAGTGAAAAAAACATACACAAAGTAATTATACAAAACACAAATGGATCATACCTTCCCTGAAGACCTCCCGTAACCTGAATAGTCATACCTGTAATAACAAGGAACAACACAATCACAACAAATGTTCTAAAAATCGATATAGACAGCATCTAAAAAGGCGCCTAATTAGTCATAAGTGAAACAATTTTTCTAAAAGCGGTTTAGACGGCGCATATGTAGCAGCTAGACGCTAATCCTCTATAACGAGCTTAATTAGCGATTTCTTGAATATTGATCTAAACATAAACAAATCAAGATTTTATACAATGGATCTCACTTTCTATATATGGTTTAAGAAGTCAGCTCCACTAACATATATCAGTATTCTAAAAATCAGTTTAGGCATCGTTTAGAAGTCTGACTAGTCAGCAACTCGGATCTAAGAACAGATTTAATAGGAGTTCTTAGAGTAGGATTCTTAACAGAATATAAGAATCTGTCTCTTAACTTTTAACTAAAAAAAATTAAAAATCGGCTCTTAAATGCTCTAAGTGAAACATTTTCTAGACTGATTTTCTAAGGAATTGGTCTAGACGCTAAAAAAAATCAGTTAGGCGTTCGTCTAATCAATAATCTCATACAAAACATTTAACTGCCACCTAGCCATTTCTTGCATTCTCATTTACTCATGATTAAGTCTCTTATCTACAACCATGTGCAGACACTAACCAAACAAAACAGAGAACTTGTCCTAAAACCCGTAAGAGCAGCTTCCAAAACACCATGTCCTAATTGCAAAAAAAAAGGTTTTGATTATTACCCAATTAAGTTAACACGAAGATGAAGACTAAGCTCGGAGAAGAGCTCAATCATCTGACCAAGATCAGCAGCGTTGCCGTGTGAATACAGAAGCGTGAGTGAGGCTTTACGGTTCTTAACATACGCCGCAACCACCTGATTCCCTCTCTTAGTCTTGAGCTTCAACACTTCCACGTTCTCCTTCACGTTCTCTACGCCCGTCAGCCTCAGCTTCCCCGTCTCTTCTTCTGCTACTTCAACACCGTACGACGGCGGGTTTGGCGGGAAAAACGCAAACTTTGCAGCCACTGATGACGTCACCGCCCCCATTTGATATGTATATAACTTTTTGAATCTCTGAAGGGGGAAAAAGAAACGAACTTTGCAGGTGGGGTTAGAGGTTTCCTCTGTTTTGAATTCGGTTTATATGGATCATGGAGAAACAGAGCAAAAAAAAGTTTCAAACTTTGATTTAGATTTTGGTAATTAGAGATGTGACACGAAGAAGAATCACAAACACTTTAATAATAGACAAAAAAAAAACACAAATTGATTTGTCTGAAAAAAAAATACAAATTGAAAGTTTCAAACTTTGATTTAGATTTGGTTGACTTGAAATAAGATTTTAGAGTGAGAAAAACGACGGAGAGAGAGAGAGAGAGATAGAATTTAGGGTTTTGGGAAGCTGAAGAAGAAAGAGGAAGATTGGTAAATGCAGTTTTCACGGGGGAGAAAGTGGAAGACCCGTTGATGCTGAGGAGGAGGAGGAAGCGCACGTGTTTATTAATTCTCTCCTTTTCTCTGTAGATTTAATTTAATTGAAAGTTTCTAATTCGTCGTTCATAATTATTATTAGCTCCCATAATTATACTATTTAGTTCACTATTCAACTTTGGGGTTGTTGAGATTTTTATTTATGTGGATTTTTTGAGAAATATACAAGGAAAAAAAATAATTAGAAGATCCAGAGAGTTTTATGTATTTGGAACATTTTGTGCATTATGGAACTAAAAATGTGAAAAATCTGACTTTAATAACACTGTGATTTGATATGATTACAAAATCAATAACAACTTATTTATTAATAAAATATGCTTTTGAATTAACTGAACCAAATGTCATAAAAATAGTATAATCTGATTTTTTTAAAAATCTTACTATTCAAACTATCAAAAATCTTCCATAAAATAAAACATACACTAGCCAACTTCTAATTATTGTAATTCAAGTTTTTTTTTTGTAATTCAAGTTTCATATAAGTAAGCACAGCAGCATGTGATAAGTAATTGTAACTTTCTTTGTTAACTAGATTTTGACCCGTCCTTAAAGAGGACGGGACAACCATTTTTGCTTTAAATTTATGTCATTGTTTGATTATTCACAAGTATGTATAGACATGACTATCCGGATTCAGATAGATTGTCGTTAATAATTTTGGTTTGGTCCAACATATATAGATTAAATACGATTACATACAATTTAATGTGTGGTATAAGATTGTTTTTTCTTATTAGATAACAAATTTTAGAGATCCGATGAAATTATGAGTTGTATTCAATAATCTAAAGTATTTATTTGTAATAGTTTATATTTTGAGTTCAAAATTATTTTTTATAAAAAATAAATAATTTAGGGTACTATTATAAACAATTTGGTTGATATTATTGTCATATAAAATAAATAGAGATACAACCGACTGTTAATTTTAAAATTATGGTCATAAAAGTTGACATTGTATTATATAGACGGTATGTGTTTAAAAATATGATTAACAAAACAATTATATAATAAAATAACATACAAATTCAAAATACAACTGCGAATGATTATTGCAAATCCGTAAATAAATCAATACATCATATTAACGACCCAAGCCCAACACAAATATACCGACAATATCTCTTTAATATATCTTGGACATGCGACAACCACATATCTTTTCAAGAGCGGATATATTTTCTTTATAAATTGATTTATACGAAACAAAGATTTGATAATTATAAAATTACATGTGTTGAAAATTTGCAACTTAGTACATTTATAATTGTGTTGAGCAGTGTTTTCATACCCGACATGGGTTTGAGATTGAGCAACTAAAATTAGTGATATGTATATATTGCAGTTCGGATTTAACTAATTCACCGCTATTCAAAATTTTGATAAAACTTTGGTAAGAATCCAAAATCCGTTAGTAACATGTCACCTAGCACTGATTGACCCGTGTAAAACTAAGATAAAATTGGTGATCTAAAAAAATTGATCAAAATTTTATATATTTTAAAATGAGTACATGAAATTGAATAGTATATTTGATTTGTGATTCTTTACTAAAAGAAATACTACGTTGTCTGATAAAAAAAAAGAAGAGAAAGGCGATAGAGAACACCAAAAAAATGTACTCGTTTTTCACTATTATTTAATTTTTATTATTGATAATTTATTACTGGTTCTATTTTTATTTAGACTTAAATTTTATTTTTTTATGATTGCTATTATTTACTTGGTAGAAACCGTGATATAGAATAAAAATGTTAGATATGGTTTTATGTATATTAAAAATAGGTTGACATATTCATTTCGAACTTTTACATTCAAAAAACATTTTATGTATAAAATTTTAATTAGTTAACAACACACACACACACACACACACACACACACACTTATATATATATATATTGAAATAATCATAATTTGGTGTATTTATTTGATTTTAATTGTAAAAAATTTAAGAAGTTTAATTATAAAAACTTCATTTTATGATGTGAAATATTTATTGCTACTTGATAAACAAAGATTAACTTTCTAAAATAAATACTCCCAATAAGAATATGTGCTTTCAATCAAAGATGCATTTAATAACAAATAGTATTTGTTAGGTTAATTAAGAGGGAGGAAAATAGTGTTCATAAATAATAACTNACAAATAGTATTTGTTAGGTTAATTAAGAGGGAGGAAAATAGTGTTCATAAATAATAACTACATCTAATAAATTAAATATTAAATATATTTATTTCAATGGTACAATCCTAGTTTAAGACAGTCGAGTTTGGCACATATATATGTTTCCAATATATTAGTCTAGATTTTGACCCGCACTTTGATAGTGCATAATTGTTTTCTGTTAATAATACTATTAACCCGTTTGTTAGTTCATAATAGAAATGAAAAATCTATTTGTTCAAGCCGTTTGTAACTTATAAATATTTTTTGACCTGTAGAAAATGAACACATTAAAAAAAGTTTAACTTATTCCAGTACATATGACAAATGAATTTTTGCCCATAAACTATATAACAAATGAAAATTTTGACCCTTATATATATTAAACTTAAGTTATATTCATAGTAGAGAACATAATATGACTCATATATATAGTAAAGGAAGTTTAATATATAAAAGTAAAAGTATATGCCAAAACATATAGGAAACAATGAGAATTTAGTTTTTTTTTAATATATAAATAAAGTAATATTGATTAAATACAACTATAGTTAGATATGATAGGAAAAACTATTAATTTGAAATGTATAAACCAAACAATATTTTTTTCTATTTATTTTATTTGCAAATTAAAAAATAATACTCATTTAGATAAATATGAAAACAATTAAGTTTTGTTATCGTTTTGAAATCTCCGCATAATCCAAGTTATATTCATTTTATTAGATTATATCCTTAATATCACCATTTTTATTCTTATATGATTAACATTTGTTTCATATTTGTTTGGATGCAAATCTCGTCGTAATGAAGAAGATAATTGANTGATGCTATTACGAAGTATTCTTAATAAGTTATCTAGTTGAAGAGATTATCTCACATATTAATTTATTTGTTACATTCTAATAAATGTATACTCTTAAATTTGTTAGTTCTTTATAATACTTTTTTACAAAATATTTTTAAAAGGTTTATAACAATTTAAGTTCTAGGTATATTATTTTACATATTTATTGTATAAATAAAATGAAAATTCGATTTTTTTATTTTTTTATTTTTTATTTGATGAATTACTATAAAAACTATATTTCAATTTAAATTTTATGATGCGCTATATATATCTTTTTATTTTACATGTTTGTTTGTTATAAATCGAAAGTCCTACTCCATTACATTACATTTACTTGAAAGATAAGTTATTAGCATAAATGGTGTACATATATAATCTCTGGTTCATGATTTCATAATCGGTTATATAACAGCAAATTACTATTTAACATTAAGTACTTTCGTATTTGCTTAAAAATGCTTTTTTATATCATTAGGAATAGTTACTTTTTACCATATAGTCAAAAATCAAATTATAAATAAAAATTACAAATATATTAAGGTAATTAATAAACATGATATTTCTATAATTATCACCATAATTGGCGACATTTAGGAATATTGATTTTGTAGTTTAAATCAATGACATAATATTGTTATTAAAATTAAAATGGAGAGATAATCAGGGCAATATATTTTTTGTTGGAAAAAGATCTGGTGGAAAAAGATTTGGTGGAAAAATAATTAATAAAAACTATAGGTTTAAATAATACAGTGGCAAAGATCTGTAAATATTTCCAAAAATCAAGGGGACCTCAAAAAAAGGCCTTGTGTTTTAATAGTATAGATTTTGATATGCATGGAAATGATATAAGCAAAATAGTAGTATCATTTTTGTTTGGCCTTAACATATTTCACCATAACCCCATTTTGTTTGGCAGCTAGTTATAGAAGTAATGAGGTCTACTTTAAATATAGCAATTGGTGAATAATATAAATTAAAATAAATTCATGATAGAATAAAAGTTATTAGGTTTGGGCCGTTTGGCTATTTGGGATGTAACTTATTGATGATGGTGATGCATCATCCGCAAGTTAAGATCGGATTAGGTACGATGACGAGGTGAAATTAGAACACGTGTCACTCAAGGATATGCTTTATCTTAAATCTTTGCAGGAATGATAATTGTACAGTAAAATAATTTTTTTATTTGGAGTCGTACAATAAAATAAAAAACTATGTCTTTGTGCTTTTTGTTTTTGTTAATATTAGTTTTTGGAGAAATGACTTTTTATTTTGTTAATTAACAGAAATAAGACACATATTTGGTCTTTCTTCATTTATATAATGTGTGTTTTTTAATTTATTAAATGTCTTTCTTTTTGTCTGTCCCAACCAATAATATGAAAATCAAAACTAGGGGTGGGCACGGATCGGATATCCGGGTTTTTTAAGATATTTGTGATTTGCTTCGACTGTTACGAATATCTAATTTTGGTATTTGCTTTGCTTCGAAAAAATACGGATATCCGGAAAAACGGATATCCGAAAAATAAATAGATATTTACGGATATTTACGAATATTTGCGGACATCTCATCCATTTTGATTAATACAAATAATCTTAAGATTTTGATACAAAATTGCTTTGTAAAAATATTTTTTCCATGATATATAAAATAAAAATTAAAAGAACTAGTGAATTTACATATTTTGTAATTTTTTTAAGTTTAAGTTACAATTATTATAACACAAAATTTAAGAAAAAAATTGAATTGTCATATTTTTTCTCTCTCTTATATGTAATACTTTTATATAAGTAATAATGTGAATAGAATTGTTTAAAATCATGTGCTAAAATAATAATTATATAATTTTATACATTTAAAATTTTAAATATAATCAAGATATACATATATTTATATATTTCCGGATCGGATTGGATATCCGCTTCCCAAAATTTTAATATTTGTGATTTGCTTCGATTTTAACGGATATTGAATTTTAGTATTTGATTTGATTCGAAAGTTTACGGATATCCGAAATTTTCGGATCGAATCGAAACAAATAACGAATCGAATCAAATATAACGGATAAAATGCCCACCCCTAATCAAAACCCAATAATGATGCAAGAATGATTAAAGGAAATCAAAAGAAAAAATTAATATTTTATTATTATAGTGAAGCAGGACGTTATGTTCAAATTATAAATACTAACTTTTCGACATCTTTATAAATAATAAATAGTACTTACTTTATAATTTGTTTTGATATTAATAATATTCTAACGTTATCATTGTCTAATGTTTGATTAGTGGCACGCACGGGAGAGAAGAGGTGGAATAACTTTCCGTAATGGTGGAATTAAATTTTCGTCGAACCGTACTTACTAGTCTTATAGTATATATGAATGAAAAAATCATACGCTAACATCGTTGGATGATATATATTTTGGGCTTATTTTGGCAACTTTGGACATCAATTTGTAAATGTTGTGCTTGTGAGCATAGTGGGCTCCAGATGAGGCCCAAACTTAAGACCTAAATTAAGACGACAGCATATAATAATTAACCTCCAACTCCAAATATCATTGAGCTGCTCACGCCACCTCACATCGTCTTGGTAGACGCAGTGCGAGTATTTAAGATAAGTATTGGTCACCTTTTTAGTTGTTATGCGTGAAAAGCTCTAACATGAAATTTACACCGAAATAGTTGTTGTTTAAACGATTCTGGCAAAGAGACCACCATATTATTCAAAGTTCACAAATTTGTCATAAAATCTCGATTGTAACATCAAAGACTTTAGTGATTTGTTCTGATGAGTCGGTTAAAAGAAAAAATAGTATCACTAGTAATTAAAACGAGGCTTCCACAGAGAAACTAATTAACAGGTATGAAGAGGGACCAGCTCGGGCAACATGCCGTTAGTTCATGTTTCCAAAAATATACATTAAGAATCCTAAGCTCTTTAGTTGATTAATTATTGATTAGCTTAGCAAGGGTATAGTCTCCGTAATATCTTTTTTTAGTAAAGCCATGTAAAGGCACATTTACATGTTCCCAACTCGGCACTTCATTCGATGCATTTCCTCGTGCCTTCTTCAATTGTATCATCGTTACTTTTATTTAAATCAGTACGTCTTAACATGTTGTTTCATTAATATTCACATTAACATATTCTGATAACATGTTAGCGGAGTATAACTTATGAGACAAATAACAACTGGTTCAGAAAAAAGATGACAACACAAAATTCTCACTTCTCTATTTTTTTACCTATATTACACCATATATAACGTTTTTTATGCATTTTTATGTTGTGAATTATATGTTTCCAACAGTTAAAACCAACTTTTTGCCAAAGGGAATGAATTGTGATCTTTTTAAATTTCAAGGTAAACCTTTCAATTATTACACCACGATAAGGTGGTTCCTTTACATCTTCGAGAGGCCAGCATAATATATATTATTGTTGATTAGTATAATATAGATGCACCTAGAAGAACTACTACTATTCTTTTTGTTATCACTAGACGACAGAAACCATGCCCTTTTGACTCGGGTCGTCTTTACTTCCATGAGATGAGACTAAAGAAAAAAAAATCAGAATTGTACCTACAAGTTCTTGACAAAAAAAAAAAAAAAATTGTACCTACAAGTTTTATTGAAGCATCACTTCCCTCAAAACTAACAAGAGAGAAGATTGAGAGAGCGAGATAATTTGGAAGAATCTATCTTTGATAATCATGATGAGATTCACAATCATAATACTATCCTTCCTTATAATCATTCAAGCCCTAGAAGAGGACCGTATCCTAGTCTATGCTCATGAAGGTGCCTTTACATAAAGATCCCTAATTTTAACTTTTCTTACCTACCTTACTCGTTCTCGCATAATTTTTGTCTGCTTTTTTTTTTCCTGAATTGATTAGCCTAATATAATAAGCTAATAATAACTTCTTTTACATTATATCTTTAGATTTGATAGGAGGAGGTGCTGGTCACAAGAGTCTTGATACATCGATACCACATCCTAAAGTATCGTTTGTTTTCATAAATTAATTCTCACATAATTTGTATGTTTCAAATGGAAGCAAGCCATTATATCAATTTATACCCCATAACAGGAATTGTATGACTTCACCAACATAGCTGCACCGAGGAAACTAAGGTACGGGAGAACAATGAGAACCGCAGTGGCTAGAGCCCAAAAGGAGCCAGTGAGGTCAACGAATAATGATGAATGGAGTTTGAAAATTTCAGGTGCATCAAAGCATTTGATGGTGCAGAGAAAATTATGGTTCCATAAAAGAAGTAAGAGTTCCTCATTTAAATGGAAACCCAAGAAGAAGAAAACTTCTGGTCAGTTTGTAGCTTTCTATGATGACTATCGTGGACCAGCAAGTCATCCTCCTAGGCATAATCTATAATCACAACAGCCAAAATAAGTAATATTTGTATATTTTCTGTAATTAGTTTTATGCTTAAGTTTGGGTAATCATTTGAAGTTTTGTACAAAGAACACTTCTATCTCTCCATCTTTATAAAAAAACTAACTTTACTGTTATTCTAAAAGTAGTGTGCATGTCTTCATTCTAGATATTTTGCCTTTACTGCAGAAGAGCACAATACGACCAATATGTTGGAAGATCTTGACACCACTAAGGTTTGTCTTGTAAACCTTCTTTAAAACTATCATAGTATATAGATTTAGTCACTTCAGATATTCATACAGTTTTAATAATATTCATTTTTAATTTATTTCAGCATATCGATGATCTCACCAATGAAAATATATAGCGAACCAAAACTTGAACTATTTTCTTCAGCCAAGGATGCGAAGAAACTTGTATCATTGTTACACAATGATTACCCGATCCATAGTAAGACTAGATGATTGTGGAACGGTCGAACAAGTATTTGAGTTATATTTTTCAAAAAAAAAGTATTTGAATTATAATAATAGTTTTAGGTATGTAGTTACGTTGGTCCCAGTTTTGTTTTTTTTACAGTTTTGTTGCTGTGTATTAGGGGAAGTGTCTTGGGTTTGTGTAAAATAGTAATAGAATCTACAAGCTAGTATTGAGAGCTCTCGTTTGTTTCTTTGCTTTTTGTTATCCTCAGTCTACAGACCTTGTATTGTGTACTTTTAGGCTTTTTGATATCGAAGTTTTACAGGGAGAAAGTATACAATTAATGGAATAAACAAAATTCGGAGGATATACAACAAGCTCTTACACTAACTATCTAGCCTCTCTTTTTTTGTAATCTGCTTGAATATTGTACTTTCCTAATATACCAGAACTGTGGTAAAAGCAATTTATACTAAAAAAGTACGCCCACCGTGGGGCTCGAACCCACGACCACAAGGTTAAGAGCCTTGCGCTCTACCAACTGAGCTAGACGGGCATTTGTTTGAACTACTCAATTTGCATATATGACGGTTTATTTATCTATTTTTTTTGTAACACGACGGTTTATTTATCAGAAAACGATAATATAACTCTTTTCATTGGCAAAAGAACTAAACTAACTTTTCCTTTCTTTTCAGGAACGCGAAATCTGAACTTCGTAATTTATTTCTGTATAGCATTTTAGTATGACATTTTCATATTATTTTCTATTATTGATTGACCTAGTCTTATAATTCATTGACAATTAAATACATTTTGAAGTAATTACTTTCCGGAGACTGGATGAGCAGTACTATTAAGTTCCTTTGGAGCAGTCCCACAACCTTCAAGATCGAGATTTAATGGTGCTTGTTTGGTTATGATCGGTGCAGGATTTTCTTTGCTTTTGCCCCATAAAAGTATATAAAGTCCCACGATGATGACCATTGATCCTATCACACTTTTTGTTATACCACATATACATTATACTTGTCAGAAATTACTAGTAACAAAAGTGAAAAATAATCATTTAATATCTACCGTTAGGCAAAAACAGCCAATAGAATTAGTTATCTCTTGAGTAATTATTTTAAATTCATTTTAAATCTCAACCTCCATATCGATCAGAGGTATTTATGGCACATTATTCAATATGATAAGCTTTGGTTGATATTATACAAAGTTGATTAATTATAACCGTTTAAAGAAGTATTTCGTGTCGTCATTAGAATAGCAAAAGCTTTGGTACTTATACAAGAGAATCATCCTATCTTGATAAGGACTAGGATTAATACATCATTATCTCTAAATATAGTTTAGACTTATCCTAATACCATCATTATCTCTAAATATAGTTTAGACTTATCCTAATACTCCCCCTCAAGTTGGAATGGTGAGATTACGAACAGCCAACTTGGACATAAGATTCTCAAAATGTGGACGAGGCAAGGCTTTAGTAAGTACATCCGCCAGCTGGTTCTTCGAGGACACATGCTCAGTAGTGATGAGTTTGGCTTTGAGAGCATCACGCACATGATGACAATCTCTTTCAATGTGCTTAGTACGCTCATGGAACACTGGATTGGCAGCAATGTGTAAGGCAGATTTGTTATCACAGAAGAGCTTCATTGGTGCAGAATGATCAAATCGAAACGAAACCAAGAGACCCTTTAACCACTTAAGTTCCTTGAGAGCTTCTGACATAGCTCGGTATTCAGCCTCAGCAGATGAGAGAGAGACAGTGTCTTGTTTCTTGGTTCGCCAGGACACCGGAGATTCACCAATAAAGGTGATATAAGCACTCAACGACCGTCGCGTTCGAGGACACGCAGNGCAGAATGATCAAATCGAAACGAAACCAAGAGACCCTTTAACCACTTAAGTTCCTTGAGAGCTTCTGACATAGCTCGGTATTCAGCCTCAGCAGATGAGAGAGAGACAGTGTCTTGTTTCTTGGTTCGCCAGGACACCGGAGATTCACCAATAAAGGTGATATAAGCACTCAACGACCGTCGCGTTCGAGGACACGCAGACCAGTCTGCGTCACAGTAAATACTCACTTGTAGTTTATCATGAGAACTCAGGAAGATACCCTGACCAGGAGTGCCTTTAAGATACTTGACGACTCGAAGAGCAGCCTCCCAATGTGGTAGAAGTGGTTTCTGCATAAACTGAGAAAGGATATGGACAGTATAACCAAGATCCGGTCGCGTGTTAGTAAGATATATAAGCCGGCCTATAAGACGACGATACTGCTGAGCATTGGCCAAGGCACCTTCTGCACGACCAAGCTGATGATTGAGCTCGATAGGGACAGGAGACGGTTTAGCCCCGAGAAGACCAGTCTCTGCAATGATGTCAAGTGCATACTTACGCTGAGATATATAGAAACCCGTTGCATTACGAGCCACTTCAAAGCCCAGAAAATACTTGAGCTTGCCAAGGTCTTTCATACGGAAACACTTCTGGAGATAGTCCTTGAATTCTTGAAGAGCCGCTGCATTATTAGAGGCAATAACAAAGTCATCAACATAAACCAGGATATGCAAGCAAGTAGAGCCACGAACTTTAGAGAACAGAGAGTGGTCTGCATATTCGTTAGAGAAACCAAACTTGTGTAACACGTTTTCAAGCTTAGAATACCAACAACGAGGTGCCTGGCGCAAGCCGTATAATGATTTCTTCAACCTGCAGACTTTGTTAGGATCAGAACTAGTAAAGCCCTGAGGTAATTTCATATAAATTTCCTCATCAAGATCACCGTGTAAAAATGCGTTGCTAACATCCATCTGATGCACAAGCCAGTTCTCCATGGCAGCGAGCTTAAGGATAATGCGCACTGTGGTTAACTTGGCAACGGGGGCGAAAGTATCAGAAAAATCTTCACCCTCTGTCTGATGATTTCCAAGAACAACTAATCGAGCCTTCTTGCGTTCAACTTCGCCACGAGAATTATATTTGTTAGAATAGATCCACATGTTTCCAAGCGGCTTCTTGCCAGGAGGCAGGTCAGTGACATCCCAAGTATCTGTTACTTCAAACGCATTGACCTCGTTAAACATTGCTTCGTTCCATGCTTTCTGCTTAACTGCTTCTTTAAAGTTCTTTGGCACGTCCTCATTTATAACAGCAGCCAAGAACGCCTTATGTGAATCTGAGAAAGCATGATCAGACAAATAACTTGAGAGAGGGTATGGAGTCATACCTGAGACCGTTAGAGAAGACCCGTGATCATGAGGTGGAAGAACGTGAGGGGGGGTCGTTGTGGCGGAGTGAGTAACATAATCTTTCAAGAGAACCGACGGCGTCCGAGTCCGGTGTCCACGTCCCAGAATTTCAGGGATACCAGGGGAACCGGAAGAAGGAATATCAGAGATCACAGGAGTAGGTGACCCTGTCGCAGGTGTAGGCGAAGTCGGGGAAGACGATCCCTCGGCGACAGTAGGAGAAGAAGGTGGATCCGGAGTAGGTAATGGAGGAGGAGCAGGCGAACCAGACATGGTGCTCCCCCTTAAGTCAGAAGCTGGTAACAACCAGTCATCAATACTTGGGTCATACGTGTTGAGAGGAGGAGATACATATTCGTCAGACTCGACTCCAGGAAACTTGTGTTCAGAGAAGATAACATCTCGACTAATAAAAAATTCACGTGTAGTAAGATCATACAAACGCCATGCCTTCTTCCCATATGGGTATCCAACAAAGATGCACTTTCTACTACGATCACCAAACTTATCTTTATCTCTAGCCTTGCGATGAGAGTAGCATAGACAACCAAAAACACGAAGTCTATCAAGATCTGGTTTTCTGCCAAATAAAACTTCGTAAGGGGTTTTCCCATGAAGAACCTGAGAAGGCGTGCGATTGATCAAATGAGCGGCAGTGAGAATACTTTCTCCCCAGAATGAGACCGGTAAACTCGCCTGAAACAAACATGCTCTAGCCACGTTTAAGATATGGCGATGTTTTCTTTCAACCCGGCCGTTTTGTTGAGGAGTGTCAACACAGGAAGTCTGGTGTTCGATGCCAAGTTGTCTGAAAAAGGACTTGAGAACAAGAAATTCGGATCCATTATCTGTACGTATTGTTTGAACTTGCTTCCCAAATTGCCTCTCGGCCAAGGCAATAAATTCTCGAAGCAATTGAGCTACTTCTGATTTTTCTAACATCAAATATGTCCAGACAGCTCTGGAAAAATCGTCTACAATAGTAAGAAAGTACTTTGCACCAGATGACGAAGTAGTACGATAGGGTCCCCAGACATCGCAATGTATTAAAGAAAGAGGCGCAGAGGCTTTATTCAAACTATCATTAAAACTTTGTCGTGTTTGCTTGGCACGAAAACAAATCTCACAAGACGCAGCTTGTTCTGAATCAAACACCAAATTATCTAAAATAGGTAAAGCCGATAAAACTCTAAAGGAAGGATGCCCTAGCCGTCGATGCCATAACTCTGAAGTTGAAGAATTCTTAACCGCAGTGTGATGAACTCGTGCAGCTGTGACACCAGTAAAATAGTAGACCCCCTCACGTTCTTCACCCGTTCCAATCATGGTCTTCGTAAAACGGTCCTGCAATACACATAAAGTATCAGTAAAAATAGCAATACACCCAGTTTGCTTTAGTAATCGCGACACAGAGATAAGTGTGCAATTAAAATCAGGAACAAAAAGAACATCAGTCAAGAAATAGTGTTCGCTGAGCACTAGAGTTCCCTTTTTGCTTGCTTGCGAACCACGACCATTAGGAAACTTGACCGAGGAAGGCAAAATATCAACCACATTAGTAAGTAAAGAGATATCTCCTGTCATATGATGAGAAGCCCCAGTGTCGATAATGACATCTCTGAGAGTTGGTTTACCAGATAGTTTCTCCGTTGATATGGTGGATTTGGGGTTTTGAAGTAGTTGGAGGAGCTGAGTTAATTGTCCGATTGCATCAGTTGGTTGAGGTGGAGATGAAGTGGTATTGTGTGAGACGACTCTAGCGGAATTGGAGCGTCCACGACCACGGTTGCCACTGTTAGAGTTTCTTCCTCCACGACCTCGCTGAGACGAACCAGAAGACGATCCTCCCGAAGATGTCGTGTTTTTCTGTTCATGCCACCAATCAGGGAACCCATGAATAAGAAAACACTCTGATTTTTCATGACCTTTACGCGAACAATGAGTACACATTCGATTAGGATCACGGAAGCGATTTGTGACAGCTGCAGATTGAAGTTGATCAACTGAAGAAGTTTCGGTGTGAGCATGAAAGCCAACTGCCTCTGTTTTCAAATCCTTAGAGCGTGCGGAGTTGCAGTGTTGCACTTCGCGTATAACTCTGGAATAGACGTTGTTCAAATCTGGTAGAGGATCCTCATCGATGATTTGGGAACGAATGTTTCGAAACCGAGATTCATCAAGACCGAAAAGAAATTTGTGAACACGTATTTCTGCTCGTTCTTTCTCAATCTCTGCAGCTGCGTTGCATGAACACGAACTAGGAGTTTTGAGGTTGTCTAATTCTTCCCATAGTTTGGTCAAACGACCAAAATATTCGATGACCGTCTGACCGTCTTGTTGACAAGTATTGATTTCATCACGAACTTGATGGATCCTGACACCGTTTTTAACTGAGAAGCGTTGTTGAAGATTATCCCATAATTTGTGAGCGTCGGGGACAAATGTCACAGTAGAACGAATTTTGGGATCTATTGACGTTCTGATCCAACCAACAAGCATGGAGTTAGTAGCTTCCCATCGAGAAAGATCTGGATCCGCAGCAGGTTTTGTAATCGTTCCATTGATGAAGCCAAACTTCCGTTTTGCTCGAATCGAATTGGAGAGTTCGGTGGCCCATTCCGTATAGTTATCTCCTCGAAGCAAAACCGATGTGATTAAAGCGCCAGGATTGTCTGAAGGATGTAGATAGTACGGATCAATAGTAATAGAAGAAGGTAGATGTGTCGAGGACATAGAAGACGAAGTCTCCGTCATGTTCCTTGACGAAAAAGAAAAGAAAAGAAAATTTTAGGGTTTATGGATCTTTTGCTCTGATACCATATAACCGTTTAAAGAAGTATTTCGTGTNATGTGATTAAAGCGCCAGGATTGTCTGAAGGATGTAGATAGTACGGATCAATAGTAATAGAAGAAGGTAGATGTGTCGAGGACATAGAAGACGAAGTCTCCGTCATGTTCCTTGACGAAAAAGAAAAGAAAAGAAAATTTTAGGGTTTATGGATCTTTTGCTCTGATACCATATAACCGTTTAAAGAAGTATTTCGTGTCGTCATTAGAATAGCAAAAGCTTTGGTACTTATACAAGAGAATCATCCTATCTTGATAAGGACTAGGATTAATACATCATTATCTCTAAATATAGTTTAGACTTATCCTAATACCATCATTATCTCTAAATATAGTTTAGACTTATCCTAATATTAATTTAATTTTTTTGGTCATTCAGTAATCAGTATGATGCATGCATCAATTTGGTTTAATACCGATCGTTCAAAAGATACGCCACGCAGATGAAAGGGTCTTTACAACTTCTGTAAAGGCATATTCTATATACTAGTCAATGAATACTTTAATATGTAGTGTACAACATTGTTAATATGATGCGTTTGATCAAATTCAATTTTAAAATCGTTTGTTTGTACGTACGTTGAAACTAATAGATACTCCATATATATACATAAAGATATATAAATAAGTAGAAAAAAATAGTAGGTTACCTTCCGCAGTAAATTTGCTCATGAAGAAAAAAGAAGCTGAAAATGGCAGCAAAGACTTGAATCAAAGGGATGAAGCTAGACGTGAAAACCGGACCTCTTTGTTCGAGACACCACGATATTCCCACGTAGCACAATCCCGATCCCACAATACCCTAGACAAGCATTGATCATAGTTGTACACGCATAAATTCAATTTAGAACGGTTTCATGAAATTACAAGATTTTGTGTTTAATAATAGTTTTGTTGTTATTGTAAACTGTAAAACCAATCATCAAATGAAAAGGAAAAAATATTTTTTCCTTCTGTTTTTGTTTGCAGCTTTTGACTATTTGTATACGCATTGTAACAAAAAAAAATCATCTTCAGCCATCCATTTCTCATTTCAAAATGGTGTTGTAGTTTTACTCTTTTTATTATATAATAGAGTAAAAATAAATTTACTCTATAAATAGAGAAACTGAATAATAAATTATGTTTTACTCATTACTTTAAAATAGAGTAGAGTTAGAGTAAAATTCAGTTATGTGATAGAGTTAATTCATATAAACGAACAAACGGACTAACGCAATGGAGATATTCTAGGCTCGTTTATTTTATAAGAAGGCACATAATGTATTAGATTAAATTAGATTTTGTAGGCAAAGTAATAGTAAATTTTGATTACTTACCGAATAAAGTAAAGCTAAAACTTGAAATTTATCTTTAACGACCCACATGGATATGCTCCTCTCCGAGATCAAACTTAACAAAGCAGATTGGATCACACCAAAAAAAGAGAGGATAGTGGTGCTCGTGTATTGGCAGGGATATATCCGGCATATTTTAGCTTGAATGATGAACCATGATGACCATACTAAGATTGATATGATCAGCATGAACGAACCCATTGCCCACTTTTGCGTTACCGTAGTGGTAGAACTATTTGATGTTTGTATTTCCTTTAGAGTGTTTTGTTGAGTTAATGCGGTTCCTTTATAAAGCGTAAGCACCAATGCTCCACATATGCATATCATTGTACCTAACACTTTGGCTCGTCCTATGTTGCTCTTGATGTTCAACGTCTCTAGCCTAATCATTCATTGTTTAGTAATATTGTAAAATAAGTGATAAAAAGCAATTGTGATAGCTAGAGGAAATATAGTGTAGAAATGTGTTCTGATCTAGTTTCATTACCTAAAGACGAGAGCCAAAGCAAAAGTGACCGAGGGAACCATGTTGCTAAACGCTAAAGCGAAAGTGGAAGACGTGTTTTGTAGTCCTATAAGGAAGAAGTATTGCACCAAGCTTGTCCTGCACATTAAGTGATAAATATCAAGAATTTTCATTGACATCCGTGACCTATTGAAACTATACGAAGGAAACTTACCCTAGAAGAGCGCTAAAGAAAAGTGAACACAAGATCCTACCCGTCAGTTTTGGCCTGTTATGTCTACAAAATGAAAAACCAAATTAATTTTCTTTTATCTTCTGATTCGGTATGTCGTAATTTTTTGTTTAACCAAATTAATTTTCTATCCGATGGAATACGAATATTTATTTTTCCTCAGAGTTATAATTAAATTTTGGTGACGTTATGCAAAAGAGACTGAAACCAACGGTCAACAAGACACTCGAATAAACAAGACATCCACTTATAATTTAAATAATATATTCAATCCAAGAACAAAGTTTTTTTTTGGGTACAAATTTAACAAGACGAAAGCTTCAAAATCTTAACTAAATAACAAACCAAGAAAAGATTGGGTGAATTAATCGAACTCTTACGACGGAGACATGTGACTCTAGTAAGGCCCGAGATTTTAAGAGTCATAAACAATTTGAATTCAGTAAAAATTGTTTTATAAATTTAGAATTTATATTTTAAAATTTAGAAATTTATATTTACATTAGATTATTTTAATATTTTGAAAACACATGTCAATATTTGACTTGCTTATGTTCAGGACCAGCTGTGGACTCTACGTAAACCATAACAAAGCCAGTGTTCGAAAGAAGCGAGTAGGTAAATAATATACATAAAGAACATATACCTTTCCAAGATGATTGCAAACGGTGTCAAGAACAGAGTTCCTGCGGCAAGTCGGTAAGTGGTGGCGACCATACGGTTAATTCCTTGATTAAGCATCTTCTTGAACATAACGTTCACAACGCTTAGCATTATGTTGATAAACGACATCAGAAACACAGCTTTCCATAGTTTCGCATCAAACTTCACCATAATAATTATATATGTATAGGTATTTGTGTGCGTCTATATATAGATTAGATATATGTAGAAACTTGTCTTTATGTAGTTTTTAGAATTTGCAATGAAATAAAGGTTTGATGAGGCTGTGACTATATATCGTGACTCTTGACTATATATCGTGACTCAAGTAATGCGCAGAATCGTATTCGCATTTATCTTTTAAGTTTTATCTAATCTCATTGTGCTTTGACCTTTGCTTTTTATCATTGTTCTCTCAACTATTCATGACCACAAGGAGAGAGAGATGATTAACTAATGGAAACTCCCGTAGCTTCCATCATCACGACGTGACCCCATGCACCAAATTATATGTTAAATTCACTATACTTTTTACAGAAACAACTTGATTTTTTTTTAGCAACTACAGAAACAACTTGATTAAGAGCATAAAGGTTGCTAGGTAAGCCATCTATGCTATGAGATTTATCCATCAATTAATATCTAAGTATATTTATAATCATCAAAAACAGTTAGAGCTGCATGAAATTGTTGATAGTCGATTCAATATAAAAGTTTTGAAAAAGAGTCTGATAGTAATCTTTTTATAATCCGCACCTACGGTTACTTGTCAAGTGTCAACAAAGTGAAAGACATACTTTTTTTAGAGTGGTGCGTTTGCCATTTAAAGAAATAGAACATTATTAGTTGTTTCAAGAATCCTACAAAAATTAAAACCAGAGATCTAGTCAGACAATAGAGTGCATCTATACGACCAACACGCACGTTTAAACTTGATTAGGTATTTTCATGTACCACATATATGCAGCAACAAATGTTTTTAAATGTAAATTATATTTAAAGATAAAATTCTATTAATATTCTAGATTTTCTTATTTCATACGAATATTCTATACAAATTTAATTTAGTCAAACATAAATTTAAGTTAAAAAGAATTTCTATTTAGTTATTTTAAATTATATTTAAGATATATATATATATATATATATATATATTAAAATTTATAATATTTTTTATTAAGATATATTAAATAATTTTTAACATATTTTTAAAAAATGACATAAATTTATAACTATCAAAAATTAAACTAAACAGAATTTCTAAATAAAAAATGATATATATTGATGTTAAGATTAAAAATTTATAAATTTTTAAGAATTTATATCAATTTTGATAATATTATTTAGGAATAAATTTTTTATAGCTATAAAAATGAACTTAAATAATATTTTGAAAATTTAAAATATTTATATTTAGATTATTATATTATTTAATGTCATATTTAAATAACTTTATTTTAATGAAGATGTGTTTGTTATTTCCATTCTAATAAATGTACCAAAAATATATTATTGTTATATAATATTTATCTATAAATCATGTGATTCATGTCATCAATTATAACATGCCGTCATATTTTTAGTGAAAATAATTATAAATATGACATATATTAAATCATTTCTAAAATAATATCTAGGGTTTGATTTTAAATTTACTTTCTGTGGTGTCAATAGCTAAATGCCATAATTGTGAAATAAGTATTCTATTTTGCATTTTTTTTTTTTTGTGAATATTCATAATTTTATTTTTGTTCCTAAAATACATCCTACAAATTTTAAATTGGATTAGTAACAAAACAACCCTATTATTCTCATTCAAAGTTTGGAATAGTTTCATTTAAATCTGCACACATCTGTAACAAAAATAATAAAACTACAAATATGAGAACAATTATTTTAATTATCCTGATTAATATTATTATAAGAAATTATCATTTAACTAAAATAAAAAAAATTCTTATTACAGTTATCCACATTTTAAGGTGGGCTAAAGTTGGCCTGTTTGGCATAACAGAAAAAAAAAGAACTATAATTTCCAAGATTCTCAATAAAAGTAGAGATTTGATCCGACAATCAGAAACATATATACTATATAATTTGAGAAAATTATATATATATATATATCTGTAATTATAAAATATAATATAAATAAGTATTTGACAAGAGTTTTGAAAATGTTAATGGAGATAGAACAATGAGTCAAATCCTGTCTCAAAATGTGATGCTTTGCTAAGTATCTTTCATTTGTTTATTTCAATTCGCTTCCTTGAAATCAATGGACATCTAAAATTTGTAATATCCAAACTTGGTACAAAAAAATATTTGGATTATTTAGCGTGGTAAACGTGACATATTGATAGCAATCCCTTGCTTAAAAATACATTCAAAGTCACTATTGATAATATATTTTATATTTTCACACAGAAAAGTATTTGTTATTTAAACTATTAATAAACACCTTATTTTAACATCTAGTTATATGCTTTAGCACTCTATTTAAACTATTAATTTCATTCTTCAACCGTTCCCAATCTACCAGTCAAACATAAAAGTGAAGTCTTTTATTGTTCACATTTAATTATTTTTATCACATTTTTCAAACATGTGGATGCATAGTTGTTCTGCTTTATAATTAAGAACTAACCAGAGATAAAGTATATGAACTTCGTTAAAAAAGTATATGAACTTTTGGCACTCTCAGGATGGTTTTGTGGCCATTAAAAATATCCATCCATTTCTCATCCTTCAAATGTGTCCAAATTTTTCTCATTTTAAAACGTGATGTATTTTATATTCGCTATCCATCATTTCATCAATCCTGTTCTGTCCAAATGCATATCTATGAAAAAAGTTTATAAAAGAGGAGAAAACTGTTGTTGTGGCACTAAAATCGAATAAACCAGTTAGATCTATTTACTCCACCTCTAAAAGCGGCCTTGGATAGTCAAGTTGAAATGGAATTGGCTAATATTTTAAGGGGGATTTTAATAGGGAATGGTGGCGAATAACCTGAGGTTTGTTTACAAGTGGTGGCAAAATCTTAAACTAATAGGAGTGTGGTATTGCGTATATTTTACACTAATAGCATAAATTTAAAGGATATAAAGAAAAGGTTCACTCGAGAGTTCTCTCCCAGGCACAAGTTTCTAGGAGCTGAAAAGGACGTCGCTGCACGAGGTTTAAGGATGTTGACAACACATCTAGCTTCCCTCTTCTAGGTCGGTTTTTCAAATTACTCTCCCAAGCCAACACCGAAAACCCTAGTTATTTTCCTGAAGTAGCATCCTCCAAGCAACTTTGATATCGCTCAAACAGATCTTGGATACTCGTTCTAGTGGTTTATCCTCAAATCTTGACTTACTGTGAACGGGCTGCAAGAACCACAAGCCCTTCTTTGACTCACAATCGCTTCTGCCTGTAAAAGCAACGAATCTACACCACAATGGCGAGACGTCTAACTGCTGAAGAGAAAGGGAAAGGCATTGACACAGGAGGTCTGGAGCCGTACATCAAGAGAATTCGAGCACCCCCCTTGGATACATCAGCACTGATTGAAGAGAACTCCCGGACCCTTATTGGGAGAGTGACAAATCCGAAAGAACAGAGGATCCATACCCTCATTTCTTCTCTACCACGTAAGTGGAACCCTCAAGGAAGAATAGTAGGATCAGATCTAGGCAATGACTGCTTCCAATTTCGCTTTGAGAAGGAAGATGATCTACTGAGAGTCCTGGACAACAGACCCTACCACTTCGGGTATTGGATGATCATTCTAGAAAGATGGAAGCCCATCATCGCTGACACGTTCCCCTCCTCCATCCCCTTCTGGATCAAGATCAAGGGTTTACCCCTCCACTTTTGGCATGAAGACATGATATGTAGGATCGGAAAGGAACTGGGAACTCTAGAAAAGCACGAACTAACCAAAACTATGGCACGAGTGAGAGTCTCAGTGAACGCCCTCAAACCCTTGGTAAAGGAGACAATAATAGAGTTCGATTCAGGCGAAGAAAGCAGAATCTGCTTGGAGTACGAACGACTGGAGAACCACTGTACTATCTGCTTGAACCTCTCACATGAGAGCGAGTGTTGCCCCTCCCGCGCCCCGAGGAAGAACTCGACGGATCCTGAACTCTCAATGAAGGAGAACAGAGCTGAACCTGGAGAATTCCCATCGAGAGAGAATAGGCATCTACACTCACGAAAGGACTCCTCCCCCCCCCCCAACCCGTGGAGCTGAACAACCTTTGAGAGGAAGAGGAAGCAGGGACTTCAGGGAAAGAGTCGACAGGCATGGTCGATCTTTTGGCGAAAGAATTAGCACAAGATTTACTCGTAACCCTCCACCTGTCCAGAACCAACCTCTTCTCAGCCCTACACGAAGAAGGAGTGGAGTTGCTCCTTATCAGCAAACGGAGTACACCTCCCCCCCTTATGCGAAGAGTAGAAGACACCACCCATACGAGACACCTCACAGGAGATCCTTGTTCCCTCCTAGAGAGATGAAGGAATGGAGAAGGAAAACAACTGTCGAGGTTGAACAAGAAGTCAACTCACCGAATCCCATTCCGATTCCAGAGCAGCCTGTGACTACTCCAGCACCTGAGATACATGAATCGATGGGAACGGAGAGACAACAACAACGAGAGAGAATAATGGAAGATATTAATAGAGCTACACAGATGTACCTGAACTGCGACGACCCTACAGAAGCAGCAGCAAGGCGCCTCAGAGTTCTTTCAAGCGAAACCAGAGGCCAAGTTGAGGAGACTGTGAATATGATGATGACAGAGAGGGCCTATCCTACACTGACTAGAAACCAAGGAATAATCGGGAGCAACTCTGGACAGGATAAGACAAGGGAGGTTGTAATGGAGGAGCTCCATGACACCACCCTCCAGTATATGAGCTGTGCAGATCCCACCGAAGCAAGGGCTAGACAACTGAGAGTTCTTGAAGGTGATGCACGAGGCGAGATGGAAACGGTAGCCACAGGAATTCTAGCTGCAAGTAGGGTCCCACAAATAGCTCCTCACCAACAACTGATTGACCACTCGGACGATAATCATACAATTCAACCTGAGAACGAGATGGCTCATCGGGAGGTTCATGAGATTGAAGACCCACCAAGGAGAAGAAGAGGGAGACCTGCTAGAAACCAAATAGCTAATGCTAGCCCCAACGTGCTCTTGGGAACCAGCTCAAGGAAAAGGTTTATCTCTACTCTAAGAGCTTCACCTGGGGGACGAATTTCCAGGGAACAAGTACCTCCACAGGAGCAATCGGAGGGAGAAGGATCCTCCCATCAGAGAAGAAACCCACCTATCCAACTGATCCCTACATCCACGAGGAGGAAGGAGGATTTTCGGGTTGCTCCACCCCGGGCTCCTTAGTCATTGCAAGCTGGAATTGCTGTGGGTTGGGGAATCCTGCAACAATCCAGCGTTTAAAGGAGATTAATAGAAGGAATAAACCTGATATTATCTTCCTTATGGAGACCAAGAATCCAGATGAGAAAACCCTAAAAGAATTACAATGGCTGAACCTTGATAAGTACTATTCAGTGCCACCAGAAACGCCAAGATCAGGTGGTCTCTTCTTATACTGGAAGAAGGAAGTCGAGCTCACGGTTCTGTCATCTTCTAAGGGATACATCGACACTGTTATCTCTACTAAAGGAATCCCTTTTCACACCACGTTTGTATACGGAGAGCCGGAGCAAACAAGAAGACAAGAGTTCTGGAACACCCTGTCTAGCTTATATACGGATAACAACACTCCATGGTTTCTCACAGGTGACTTTAATGAGATAATAGAGAACTCAGAGAAGTGTGGGGGTCCGGACCGGGCTGAAGGTTCCTTTGGGGCGTTCAGATCCTTCCTATCCAGCCATGACCTCTTTGATCTCAAACATAGTGGCAGTTACCTATCATGGAGGGGGAAAAGACATACTCACCTAGTCCAATGTCGTCTGGATAGAGCGATGTGCAACACAGACTGATCGGACCTCTTTCCATCGTGTAGAAGTCAGTACTTAAGGTATGGGGGATCTGACCACCGACCACTAATCTCCTTTCTGGATACAAGAAGAAAGAGAGGAAATGGTATTTTCAGGTTTGACCGCAGATTAAAAGAAAACCAGGAAGTTAAAGCAATAGTAAAGGACCTGTGGGAGAGTCATCCCAGCCTCCAGGTTGAAGAGAAACTGTCTCTTTGTCGACAGGCGATCTGTAAATGGAGTAAAGCCTTCCAGGAAAACAGCAAGAAGCTTCTTGAAACCCTACAGAATGAATTGGATCAAGCTATGTCTAACCCTATCCCCGATGACCTGCTCATTAGGGAGCTGAATGCCAATATCTTGAAGACATACCTTGAGGAGGAGAATTTCTGGAAACAGAGAAGTCGTCAACTGTGGCTGTCACTGGGAGATGCAAATACGGGATATTTCCATGCTTCAGCTCGAGTCAGAAAGTCGAAGAATAGGCTAACGTTCCTGGAGGATGAGGACGGGTTACCTATTTACGAGGAGGAACAAATCTCAAAATCTATATGCGATTACTACTCTAAACTCTTCACATCTTCCCCAGCCAATGGTGCACACATAGTTCATAAAGCAATAGTCCCCTGCATAACGGAAAAACAGAATGAGATGCTGATATCAAACCCGACAAGCAAAGAAATCAAAGAAGCTACCTTCGCCATCAACCCTGACAAAGCGCCTGGCCCGGATGGTTTCTCAGCCGCTTTCTTTCAGTCGAATTGGGAGGTGACGGGTCCGGCTATCATCCGAGAAATCCAGCAGTTCTTCACAACAGGAACTCTACCTGCATCAGTGAACCACACCTTTGTTAGACTAATCCCGAAGAATCTAGACGCTAAGAGAGTAGAGGACTACCGCCCTATAGCACTATGCAACGTATATTACAAAATCATCTCTAAGCTACTTTCATTACGTCTGCAAAAGGTCCTCAACTCTCTTATTTCAGAAAACCAGTCAGCTTTCATTCCAGGAAGATCTATCACAGATAATGTCTTGATTACACACGAAGTTCTGCATTACTTAAAGACATCTCAAGCTACAAAACATTGCTACATGGCTGTCAAGACTGATATGTCAAAAGCCTATGATAGAATGGAGTGGAATTTCGTGGAACAAGTGCTGGAGAGATTTGGTTTTCACAACAAATGGATTAAATGGATTACGGAATGCTTAACCACAGTTTCCTACTCCTATTTGATTAATGATCATGCCTACGGTCTAGTTACACCGAAAAGAGGAATAAGACAAGGCGACCCCCTCTCCCCTTATCTGTTTATTTTATGTGGGGAAGTTCTTTCGGGTTTATGTAAGAATGCAGCGAAGGAGGGTACCTTGCAGGGGATCAGAGTGGCCAGAGGAAGCCCGAGAGTGAATCACTTGCTGTTTGCCGACGATACTATGTTCTTCTGCCCTGCTTCTGCTGAGTCCAGTCGCAGCTTGCTGGATATTCTCACACAATATGAATCAGCTTCAGGTCAACAGATAAATAAAAGCAAGTCGGCTATCACGTTCTCAAAGAAGACTCCCATTCATATGAAAGAAGAAGCTAAATTACTCCTTGGTATTTCTAAGGAAGGTGGAGAAGGAAAATACCTTGGAGCCCCTGAACATTTTGGTCGACGCAAGCGGGATCTCTTCACCTCTATTGTGGATAGAATACGCCAACGAGCAGTGAGTTGGTCTACAAGATGCTTGTCAAAAGCCGGGAAGCTAACAATGCTAAAGGCGGTACTCTCAGCCATCCCTACCTACACAATGTCATGTTTTGAACTGCCTGTCAGTTTGTGTAAAAGAATCAAATCTGCCTTATTAAGATTCTGGTGGGATGGTCCAAACAACAAGAAGAAAGTAAGCTGGGTGGCATGGGACAGGGTAACTAAATCAAAAGCTGAAGGTGGACTTGGTCTAAGGGACATTCAGCTCTTTAATCAAGCTTTGTTGGCAAAGATAGCATGGAGAATAATCACGGTACCAGATTGCCTCCTCGCTAGAATTTTAAAAGGCAAGTATTGTCACAACCAGAGCTTCCTAGAGGTGGAACTACCTTCGGTTAGCTCCCATGGCTGGAAGGGGATTCTACATGGCAGAAATCTTCTAAGGGACAATTTAGGCAAAGCTATAGGGGATGGTGTATCTACAAGAGTTTGGAATGATGCCTGGATTTCCCTTGACACACAACTCAAACCGCATGGACCCATTCAGGAAAAATTTCTAGACCTTAGAGTCTCTGATCTATTAACTGATGATCTGAAGTGGAATAGACAGAAAATTGAATGCGTCTTACCAGAGTTTGCGGATCAAATCCAGAGTCTTAAACCAAGCCTAAGAGGAGCGAAAGACTGCTACGTGTGGCAACCACTTCCCTCAGGGATTTATTCTACACGGTCTGGTTATAACTCTGTGGCGAATGGTAACCAAGTACACAGGGGTAATCCTCCTGATAATGAGTTCGATTGGATTAGGGATGTATGGAAGCTATCTTGCTCTCCCAAGATGAAAGTGTTCCTCTGGTCCATCATCCAAAACGCGTTACCCCTGGGGGAGAACCTTCAACGAAGAGGTATTAGTACAAATGTTAAGTGTCCAAGATGCAATGAAACAGAATCATCCATGCATACCTTCTTGCTCTGCCCGTTCGCCAGAGAAGTTTGGGAGTGTATCCCCCTGAAGGAAACAGTTCACATAGCTGTCACAGACACCTTTAGCTCAGCAACGACCCGATTTAGATCTGCGGTCTGTCTACCACCAACTGGAGTCTCAAAGTCTATCTTCCCGTGGATATGTTGGACGATCTGGAAGGATCGCAACCTCCTGGTCTTTGAAGGAAAAAGCACAAACCCTGCCGATGTTGCAGCGAAAGGGTTGGCGATGGCGAAAGAATGGATTGACGCCCAAACTTCTACCTCTACAGGACCGAAGTTCGACTCGAACCCACAAGTGAACATGAGACTTGTGGTACCCCAATCGGACTTGCAAATCACTACTTGCAGAACAGACGCGGCATGGGACAAGTCAAGCTACAAAGCAGGGATAGCTTGGGTTTTAAAAGGAAGCTCGGGAGTGGAAGAAGGACAAGGGTCAGCGGTTCAAGATTTTGTCAATTCTCCTCTGATCGCCGAGGCGCTGGCAATCCGGGAGGGAGTCTTTATGGCGGCAAATCGGGGGATCGTAAACCTCTGGGTGTGCTCCGACAACTTAACGCTCATTAGAGCAATCAACTACAGAACACAGAGAAAGGAATTGCTGGGAATCATCAAGGATATTCAGGATCTTTCTTCTGGTTTTGTTTCAATTGAGTTTTTTCATATTGAGAGAAAGGATAACGCGGAGGCGGACACTTTGGCCAAAGCTATCCTCAGAAACTCTATTTTGTAATGGGCCTCCTCTTGGCTGGGCCTCTTTTGGGTCCATGCTTAATCTATATTTCTGTGACAAAAAAAAAAAAAAAAGCATAAATTTAAAGCAAATTCCAAATAACAATGATATAATAACCAAAAAGTTAAGCAAAATGTTACTTTTGTAAACACAAATTTCATAAACTCATAAACATTCAAGCTATAAATAGGAAGAACATTAAACAAAATCCCCACAAACATAAAACACAAACATAAAATATAAAATAGAGAAAACTCTAAAATAATGTGACAATAAATTCAAAGTAAGATTTGAATGCATCGAAACAAGATTCACGACACTACCAAAATTGTTTTGCCTGCGATACCACATAACGTGACTACCAAATCTGCATGTCATCGAAACGAGATCCTTTACATTTTAAGACCTCAAACAGACCATTCCATAAAATAACAAATTGGTTATATGAATGGACAAACTATTCATTTGTTGGAACTTGTTTTTGACAAAATGGTTTTATACCATTTTCGATAAATTTTCAGACGAATATCTTCGTTGGAATAACTGAATGTTGGAAACTGTAAGTAGTTTATCTATATGTCAAAATTGGAATTAGTTTGAATAAGAAATAAACATCCATGTGGATTTCTTGTAAAGCTTAAAATATAACATTTGTGAAATGTTCTAATTCGGAAAATAAAGTGAAAAATGGATAGTTGGACAAAGTTCATGTTCGGGTTCGGAATTCGACAAATAGACTTACGAACTAAAATATTAATTTCTTTTATCCAAAATATTTGGTAAAGTATCGTTGACAAGTCAACAAATAACTATT